ATGTACCAAATATGTCCCCGCATTCGTAATAAAAAATAGTATATGCAACTAGTGCGTAATCGACAACTTTACGCACTAGTTGCATAATATACTATTAGTTTCATTTACGATCAGATATTTTCTGACAACATTTCAAAGGTTCCATCTAATTTGTAATATGTTAACCTCGAGAACACCCTTTGCTCTCTGACGTTGCTAGTAGTAAGAGCATTACTCTGCTTAGATTCGATCGACGACCCTTTGGGAATGAAAAAGAGAGTGAGAGAGAGAGAGAGAAAGAGAAGAGAAGAGAAGAGAAGAGAAGAGAAGAGAAGAGAAGAGAAGAGAAGAGAAGAGAAGAGAAGAGAAAGTTATAAAGTCGAAGAGGAACGGTAACTCGTGCGACCACGTGTACAAGTGTAGTAGGAAAGCGCTGATGGCGAGAGATGGTAGCTCTTATCCCATGTATAATAGATTGCTTGCGGCGGCCGAGATTAATACAGTAATTAATAATATACGGTGACCAGGGCACCATAAGAAGCAGCCATTGTTGCTTGCCGGACAGCGCAAAAAGCACTGGGCTTGGAGGCCGTCGCCTCTCAGGAGCGTTACGTCATGTTCAGACAGTTTTCCAAGGGTTGTTGGAGAAAGAGAAGAAGGGGGTGAAGAAAGGAAGGAAGGAAGGAAGGAAGGAAAGAGGTTTGACTCTTTCTCTCACTCGCTCTCTCTCTTCTTCCTAGTAGGAGTTGGTAGTCACCCTACGAGCCGACCCCAAATGAATTCGAATGTTCGTCCACCCCATGGCCCTTCTAATTACCGACGTGAGCACCGATATCGAAAGGACCGTGAAACGTGCCGTGACACCGACCTACCGAAAGATTATCTTCGCAAAAAGCCGTGTCAGTTTCGTGCAGGTCCATACAATCAACGATAATCGATAATTTAAACAAATATATGGGCCGCTTATTTTGAAAGTGGTCTATCTCCATTTTCCAAAAAATTCGAATTAGCTACCGTAATAGTTATATTTTTACATAATCTTTTCATTCTGAAGCAATTTGTTACAAATATACTTAAAATCATGAAGATATTATAACAGTATAACTCGTTAGTATCTTGTACGTATATTTTTCATTGCATTGAAACGCAAACCCTTCAATATTTCGATTGGAACATAAATGGAGGTAGGCCTCTTTCAAAGTAGACTGCTCATATATATATATATTCATTTCATATGTTTTATTTTATTATTCTTTTTCGTTCCAAGCTAATATAAAAATAATACTTTTATAAAAGTATACGATGCGAGACAAGAAATTTGTTCAAATTATTTACAATTCGTTTGAAATAAACTGTGTAACTATAGTAATAAAATTTAAATGAAACGAAATAATAATACGAGATGGAAAAATGGTTGATATTGAAAATATTAAGTGAAACTTATCAAGATAGTTATCTTTATAGTTGAAAGACACGATACGATTCCCAATTCTCATTCGATTTTATGACATACCAAAAGAGACCATAAACGATTTACCAAAGAAGAGTCACATCGACCTAGACAAACCTTCAGACTGAGGTTTATTGAGGAACGATACACACAATCGTGAGTAGAGTCCACTGGTTGCTCGCTCTAAGCAACCGTGTATTTCCCTAAAGTGCCATCGGAGAGCAGTCAAACCATAAACGGTAGTCGATAGGAAGCAAAAACTTGGCTGAGATCTGGAAGAGAAGTTTCGCGGGTTAGAGTAGAAGGGTCGATTCCTTAGGATTTTATCCTCTCCAATGCTCAACGAGAATCCTTCCCGATTCGGCTCGTGGCGAACGAAATCGGAGATTTAACACAGTGAACAAGCAAACTTTTACTACTAACTTTGATCCGATCTCGATTTGAACGAATTTAGTTTAGAAGAAGAAGAAGAAAAGAAAGAAGAGAGGACGCCTGTGAGAAGAAGTTTCTTCTTGTCGATGGAATATCGTTCTGAGAAAGATGTCCACTAAAGTAAGATCAAATCTTGAGATTAAGAGTATCAACGAATCGTACGATTTAAAAACTAATTTTCTATTATAACGCTAAAGTAAATTTAAAGTCACGTACTTATGAATGTTCCATCTGTTTAACATTCGATTAAACATTCGACAAAATATTTATGAAATTTGTAATATTTCTGTAATTAAACTGCCTAACTTATATGCAAACGAGAAAAAAAATTGTACTGCAAAACATTTAATGACTTTATCGTTAGATAATTTATTTCAAAAATATAAGAACCTAGTATCCTTTGATGTGAATTCCAAAATGTTACAATGTTAAAAATATTAGCAAATAAAAAATCGCATATCAAATGTGATGAAGAAAAAGAAAAAGTGAAACAACATTCATAGAATCCTAGAGTTGATTATAGCCGACAAATCAAAAGGACACTCGGCTACCGTAAAAGTTAAGAAGCCGAGATCCCATATTGGGAATTACTAAGGCACGGAAGCGTGAAAGACCGGACTTATATTAGGGTAGAAACGAAAAGAGAAGCTGCTGTTGCTGTTGCTGCTGCATCGTGGACGGTAAAAATTGGCGAAGGAGAGGGGAAAACAAAAAAAAAACAAAAAAGCGAACGATCGTCACGGTTAGACGAAAAGCAAGAATGGTCGTTGGCGAACGCCTCGGAGCACGAAACGCGATCCGAAGGGGTCTGTCGCGTCATCCGGTGAGGTGATTAATGTGATGCTGAGGAGGAAAAAAAAAGAAAAAAGAAAAAGAAAGGAAAGGAAAGGAAGGTCGATGCTTAGAAATTGAGAAAGTCGTAAAAGTAATGATGCGCGTGCCACTCGAAATTCTTCTAACATTGCATTTAATAAGACTACGACAACATTTTCATCATCAAATTTCTCCCAAGTGTCTTTTTCTCAAAGAAAAAAGAAAAAAAGAAAAATATTACAAATCCAATCTTTCAAGCAGACGTGCATTCACTATTTTTAAATATCTTACTTTTGTTTATTATTATTATTATTATTATTAACAAGAAAAAAGAAAAGAAAAGACAAGTATCTCTTGATCGTTCAGACACGTTTTAGCTAATCTCCGAAAAGTTGGTATAAGGTCTTCGATCAAAATCGAAAACACGTTAAGGAAAGGAAAAAAAAGGAAGGTGTGGCGGGTGATATTATATTAAAAAGACTCTATGACTTTCATTCATAACTCTGAATTGAACACGTGAATGAAAGATTGATGCTTTCTCTCCACCCCCCCCCTCTCCTCTCTCTTATATCCTTAACGTTGAGAGGGAAAGTATGGATGATCATTTTTTCTTCCTTTTTGTATTCTTTCCTCTTTTATATAAATAAAAATAATAAATATGATATTTGTCACACAATAGAACATATAATAATCTTTCAATAATATACACAATTGAATGAATTAAAATGATTTTTTCTAATCGCAAGATAAAACAAAAAAAGGAAAGGAAAGGATAGACGAGGTAAAGGTAAAATAGGAGCATTTTGGTTCCTTTAAGTGAAACGACAGTTTGTTGGAAGTAACTTAAGGATCGTATCTTCGCGTCGAAGAAATGAAGGAGGTTGGTGTAGTAACAATGATTTTGCTAACGAACGTCTTCGAGAGCGCCACAACAAAGTCGAAAGGTAATCCTCTTAGATGACAACGTAGTAGGAAAGCTTGCGTATACGCGTGTAATCGGGGCTTAAATGCGGTATTACCAGTTGGCTGTTTCTCGAATCTACAAACGGAATCTTCACAAAACCACCTTTCAAGATGGAACCAAAATAAAAGGGATACAAAAAATTCTGATCAGAAAAAGAAAAAAAAATGAAAACAAAAACAAAGATTAGCGGAAAATATAAGGAGACGTTTAAATCGATCTATTTCATTAAATTTCATTAAAAAAAGAATCAAAAAGAAATAAATATTTTCGTTACAAAAGCTAAATGTAATATAATATAATATGATGCAGTGAAACATCAAAAGTCTTAAGGGTTTTTTTTTTTACGTAGTTGACACTTTGAGGAGAAAGCCGTGAAGAAAAAGAGAATAGATAGAGAACCTAAACGAGCTTTCTCCTTGTTTTATCTTGTTTTCCACCTCCCTATATTCCACATTGGAGAGTCCGCAGGGCCGAGCATCGGTCATCTAAGCGCTCCATTTAATCCTGGAGGAAAAGGAACCCTCGTTGAGCACGGACAAGTGGGGATCTCCTAGCAGGATAAGAGAAGAGAAGAGAAGGACCAAGAAGAAGGAAGAGGAGGAAAAGATGGAAAGGGAAGAGAAGGGAAGAGAAGGGAATGAGGTTGGGTTAACGTTCGTGTACCACGGTATAGGACTTCAACGCTAATTCGACTCAACGAAATATCTCTCCTGCACGAGTTTTCTTCCTTTCTCTTGCGATTACCTAAACGAAATTACTTCCTCGCCCTATGAGAAGAAAAACGATCTATGTCTCTTTGTCTTATCACGCCTTTTAAGCACCCCCCACCCTTTTTTCTGTATGTATGTATTTGTATTATTTAGAAAATGACAAATAAATTAATCCCTACGACGAATTCGATTATACGTTAAAATAACGTTTTTGTTTTTTTTTTTTAGATCGTTGAAAATCAATCGAGTATATTATCGTATCGGAATAAAACAATATTACTAAAAGGGAACTAAGAAGAACACAATAATAAAGGCGTGTTCATTGCTAGTAGGATGCATATATTAAGATGTGTCCGGCACACTTGTCGCAGAAAAGGGAGGAGAGAGCTAACAAATGTCTCTCCTGAAGCAGCGTTTGACCCCTGCTAAGACCCCAACAAACCTTCTCTCAGGAATCTAAATCTCGACTCGACTTGAAAACGTATTTCCCCTCCCCTCCTCTTCCCTATTTGTCCTCTCTCCTTCCCGCCATCATAGCGCAACGTCCAAGTGAAGCAGTGCAACTGAAGCTGCTACCACATTCTCCACCCTTTGTAGGAAACTAATCAGCAAATTCGTGTTCTAAATCTAAATCGCCGTCCGAATATTAATTCGAGACCGGCCACCTCTATCTATCTCTATCCCTATCTCTTTTACTTCCTTCCATAGTTTCTATCTATGTATCTTGTTCTCTCTCTTTCTTTCTCTCACTCTCACACATACATACTCTGCCTCTCTATCTATCTTTGTCCGTGTGTCCGTTCGGTTCTCCTGGTTTTGCGATACAGACGCAGAGAAGTCAGTACCGTAGCTACGGACACGCCTGATTTGTAGCGCAGCCTGGCGCCTAAGCGATATTTACGAGCGTCGTTCGTAGAATCGAAACGCCGTACGCAACAACGACGACAACGACGACACGCTAACTTTTAAAGAAATGCTTTTTTAATTGCATATAAAACTGGTGACTACCAGGAAGGAAACCCTTTTTCTTTTTCTTGCAAACGCAATTCAATCTAACTCAAACATTACTATCAACAGTGTTTTCAAGAATTAACGATAATTATTGTCAATTTAAAATAAGAATTGTGGTTCTATAATTTTAATCTAATCCGAATAAATCTAAATTTTGAAACTAAAAAAAATATAATACTCATAATTACCATATATGATTTATCATATAACACAACAAAGAATATTGTATTGCAAAAGATTTTCGTCACCCCCACTCACCCCTGACGTAATGGTAAATTGTAATACCAAATAATCATAGTAAATCGTCTGACATTTCTATTTCCAAACGGGCTTATGTGGCGGACAAGTTCAACATCAAGGTTTCTCGTTAAGTCGTCGATCGTCTTTTGCCACTCGACCATTAACCGAGTGTGTTTCTCCTATGAGAAACATTTCTTTCTTTCTTCCTTGGTACTCCTCCTCTTTCCCCTCTTTCCCCTCCTTCTCCTCTTCTTCCGACGGCATCGTCATCATCAAGAAAGGAAAAGGATAGATAGAAAAGAGTAGGCAACATCGGTTAGGGCGGTATTCAATCGCGTCACCTCCGGTTCTCCTTACGAGCTCGACGAGTTGGCAGGAGTTGAGTTTAGTTCAGTTAAGTTAAGTTAAGTTGATATGATTTGAGTTGAGTTGAGTTGAGTTGAGTTGAGTTGAGTTGAGTTGAGTTGAGTTGAGTTGAGTTGACTTGAGTTGAGTTGAGTTGAGTTGAGTTGAGTTGAGTTGAGTTGAGTTGAGTTGACTTGACTTGACTTGAGTTGAGTTGAGTTGAGCTGCTGCTGTTACTGCTGCTTAGACGAGGGCACCGCAGACTGTCGGGTGATTGATACGAGGTTGGACGGTGCCTAATGTGCCCTCGTGTACGAGAGAAAGACGCCAGAAAAGAGGGAGAAAAGAAGAGACGACGATGACGACGGAGGAAAGGAGAGGGGTGGGAGGAAGAGAGAAAGAGATAGAGAGAAACGACCACCCTCCAAGGCTTTAAGAGTGGAACGATCGTCCGGCCGAAGCTCGTTAGTCAGGGCCGTATCAGTCACCGAAAGCAACCACCGATTTTTTGTCCTCCTTTCACCTCCTCCCTTTTCTCTATCTATCTATCTATCTATCTATCTATCTATCTATCTATCTATCTATCTATCTATTTATCTATTTCTCTCTCTTTCTCTCTTTCATTCTACCGCTTTCACCCACCAAATTCGAGAGCACGATCCGTACCCTTAAAATAAGCTAAATTGTCTGTTTGTTCTAGACTCGTCGGTCTTCGTCTTGCATGTTGAAAGAAAGAAAGAAAGAAAGAGAAAGAGAAAAAGAGAGAAAGAAAAAGAGAGAGATAAAGGGTGTAATTTAAAGGACAAGAGGGGTAGGCAATTATCGTAGCCACGTAATGAGAGGAAAATTCTTCCCCGAAAGAAGATTATTTGAAAGTTATAATCTAATGCAAGAAAAGAGAAACATCTCCATTTCCTATGGAATTAACTCGATCGAGTTGTCGAAAGAAGAAGGTTTTGTTTCTGATTAGATAGATAAGAGATAGAAAATCAAAGAGAAATAACTGAGGAACAGCGAAAGGCCCAAACGAAATCTTCTGTGTGTGGCTCCGGTTTCGCGTTTGCAATTTAAATGGTTGGTGTCCGGCCGTCCAGAACGGCGGGCGGGCGAGCAACAAACCAACCAGGCAACCAAACACAAACAGAGTCAAACACAACCAGAGTCAAGCAAGCAAGCAAGCAAGTCAAGCAAGCAAGCAACCAGGCAGGCCGGTGAGGAACTTCGAAAACGTGCCTTGACAAATGTCGATGAAAGAAAAAAAAAATATATAAAAAGGAAGGAAGGAAGGCTAAAGGAATGGAAGTGAGGGTAGGTCCACGAGCGATAGACGGACAAGACAATGGGATGTTTAGAGATATTCGTGTTACGTCCCGCCAACCAAACGGACGTACGTACCAGTTCTACTTCGTGAAACCCACACGGACGTCCTTCTTTCTCTCTTCAATCTCGTCTTTCTCATCCTTCTACGACTACTCTCCCTATCACCCCACCTTTTACTTCGGAAAGCCAATTTGCCTGCCAGACGGACGACAAAGTAGATCGCACCTTACTCTCTCTCTCTTTTTTTTCTTCTTTTATCCTCTTGCTTGACCCATATTTTTTTCTTTTTTTTTTTGAAATCTTTATACAACTCTTAAACATTTCTTTTTATATCTACCGATTTACTTTTCTAATTCCAATTATCACTTATTATTGCTGATACGACAGATAACGATCTTCTAATACTAACTAAGTAGAGAAAATAAGAAAAAAAAAGTATTCTACTCTGATAACGTGCTGATGTATCAATTAAGCGGTAAAACGAATCGGCCGATTAACGACTCTTTTCTTCTCTTTATTCCGCTATAGGACCGTTCGATCTTATCGGCAATTCATTTTCGTACAATTCGATAGAGGTCATTATGTAAACGATCCTCCCTCGTCCTCGTCAGATCGTTACCAATGTTCTCTCTCTCTCTCTTTCTCCCTCTTTCTGCCAACCTCTATATTCCCTTTCGGTGAAGCACGGTGTGTAGTGAACGTACGAGGAATATAAGCGCGAGTAGCTATAAAACGTTTACTTTCAACCTAGTGGTCCTCTTTTTTCTTTCTTTCTTTCTTTCTTTCTCTCTCTTTCTTTCTCTCTCTTTCTTTCTCTCTCTCTTTCTCTCTCTCTCTCTCTCTCTCTCTCTCTCTCNTCTCTCTCTCTCTCTCTCTCTCTCTCTCTCTCTCTCTCTCTCTCGCATTTTCATTCACTCCCTTTGGTTTAAGCCAAGAAGGAATAATGCCAAAAGACATTAGCAGTTGATTTACATAAATCTCCCTTCTCCCTTACCCTTAGAACTTCCCTAACAGATCCTAGAGAGTGTCTTTCATTATAATTAAGAAGTATCTTGAAAATTAACCGACAGAAAAAAAAACAAGCGGCACTAGCCGACCGACCAATAATGACACGACGAGAGAAGAAGGGAAAGAGATTTAAATGGAGTGCTTCGTAGAGTCTTTTAAAATTCCTTCCTCTTGACCCCCTCCCCTCTTCTTCCTCCCCCTTTTCTATTCTTTTTTTTCTTTTTCTATGTTTTATAAATCGATCGATCCAAAAGTTTCATTACAAAACAATAATAAATTTTTTTATTGTATTTTACGTCTTACCTGGTTGCGTCTTAAAATCTGTGCCATTCTTTTTGATCGTAATTACATGGTCGGCGTCATAAAACTGCGTCAATTTCGACCATTCTTCTGCGGTGACCACGCTGTACCTGGACAAACAACACCAAATGCCAAACATAAATTTAATACAATAATTAACGTTTTGCAATAAGTTATCATATTAAAAAATGAAATATTTCCACGATCCAAATCGCGTAATTTACGATAAGAAGAAAAACAAAAAGATTCAATTCGTCGATTAAAATTCGAAACAAAGGCATCGGAAGGTAAAAGTGCAACGGACTCCTTTCTTCTTCTTCCTCCTTGTACCGTCCAGCAAGCAAGGACGGAAGGTAGGTAGGTAGATAGGTAGGAAGAAAGGAAGGAAGGAAGCAGACTCGGCAAGGTAGAATTCGCGATTTCCAAAGAGCGAGGCTGAATCCGTGATGGTTTTTGCCTCGTCTCCCTTAATTATACCGCAAATTAGAAATTTCTTGCGGGTCCGCAGCACCGCGCTTTTTGCTCTACAATTGTGCACCCGATCCTGGCGCGGTTTCTGAGCCTCGCGTAGCATCACCTAGGAATTTCAGAATGCCGAGAAAGAGAAAGAGAACGAGAAAAAGAGAAAGAGAAAGAGAGAGAGAGATCAATAATATTTTCTCTCTGTAAACAGGAGCTTCTAAATGAGTTTCATCTATGTTACAATCGTCTATTAATCTTCGCTACCGCTACCAACATTTCGAAAATTCGCATTTGTTCAATAGAACAAAAAGAATAATTTCATGGATATTTGGTATTACAAACGTTTCGATTTACTTACGCATATACAATTTCAAACGTTTTATTTTGTGTGTTTTTTATTTTGTCTTTCTTTTCATTTTGTGTAGAAAAATAAAGAAACGAAATGTATCCTAATTCTCGTAAATAATCGACGAAAATGACTTGCAACATTGGCCAAAGAGAGAGAGAGAAAGAGAGATAGAGATAGATAGATAGAAAGGGACACGGAGAAACGACGGATGACTCTCACAAGCGATAATTAGTTGCGTGACATTAATTTCGATTCAGCGCAATATGCTGCGCTGCCTCATTTGAATTTTCAGAGAACAAAAAAGCGTGGACGAGCTTGTCGTCTCTCCTGTGTATTTGCCTAACGCCCGAATAATAGTCGTAGCGAGATAGAAGATGAGAGAGAGAAAGAGAGAGAATGAATGAATGGGGGAAGGAACGACGGAAGGCTTATGGTGAAAAAAAAAATTTTTTTTAATGTTTAATGCCGCAATCAATGACTCTACCCCTTTCCCCCATCCAACGTTCTTGAACCTTTTATGTTTTCCACGCCTTCTTGATCGTGACTATGCTCTCTTGAAATTTTCCACTTATACACTCTATCGTTCAAATATTTCCATCAAAGTGAAGAAAATAAGAAGATAGGAAAGAAAATGAATTTAAAATATATTAATACGTTAAACGTCATTTACTTAACGCACAGTGAAATTTGTTCTAAAATTTTTCTTTTATCATTTTGATTTGTATAAAAAATAATTAAAAAAAAATAAAAACCTTTAAGAATAAGAAAAGAAATTGTTTTTAAGACGATTGAATTGTTCACAGGTTCAAATGTATTAACGTTATTGTTTCTAGAGTGGTTAAACATTTATGCCAAAGTATTTAATTAATGGGGCATTTCACGTAAGGGGACAATGAAAAAAATGTGAGGTCGTGGATTTTGTTCATAATTAGCTTGATTGTACTTCTATGGGACCTCAATAATTGTACATCATTATTTTTTTTTTAACTTAGTTACCAATTTATGGGGCTTCAAAGAATTGACAAAATATGAGGAATAAATTTTTCGAATACTATTAAAAGAGTCAATCTAATGGATTATATAAGAAATAAATCGTGTTTATTAGAGAATATAAATTAATTTTTTTGAAAGTAAATAAAAATTTGAAATTGAATTGTTTTTCGTCTAGTAAACCGGAAGTTAAAATTAAAAATGTGTATTTATTAAACTTTGCATACTTTTATTTTTTTAATTTTTACCTTAAAATATAGCTTGTAGTGTAGAAATATTATGCACAAAAAATTATAATGGTATCTCGATTCGTTTAGAAGATATGAACTAAACAGTACGAAGGTTCCGTATGGCGCCCTGTACTGAGCGATTCCTCAGGGCTGTTGGCTCACTCACTACTTACAGTTTACTATTGTAAGTAATGAATTATACACTTAGAACAGCGCGCCATACGGAACCTTCGTACTGTTAGATTGACTCTTTTAATAGTATTCGAAAAATCTATTCCTCATATTTTGTCAATTCTTTGAAGCCCCATAAATTGGTAACTAAGGTAAAAAAAAAATAATGATGTACAATTATTGAGGTCCCATAGAAGTACAATCAAGCTAATTATGAACAAAATCCACAACCTCACATTTTTTTCATTGTCCGCTTCACGTGAAATGCCCCAAATATTAAACTACAAACTTTTTTTTTTTTTAATATCAAATGATCGAATGTAATACATAAAAAAAAGAATTCAAAAAGATGAAGATAGAAAAAGAGAGAGAGAGATAATGGAAGAGGGTAAGTAAGTTAGAGAAAGAAAGAAAATAGGGGAAAAATGATTTTTTAACGGTCTCGAGAAAAGAAGAAGAAAAAAAAAAGAAGGAAAAAGGAAAGAAAAGGAAGGAAGGAGAAGGATGACTTAAGCCGTCGGCTATCTTAGGCAGATAGTGGACAATGGTTTAGCATAATGGTCAGAGGGGACGCACTGGATGATGGCGCGTTGGCCTCGGGGGCGTGTAGGTGACACTTTCGCGTATCCATCACGTAACACGGGTCTCCTAGCAAATGTATAGGACGACGATCGTACGCGGAACTAAGAAAGGCGGTTCGTCCGGATGCTGGAAACGTCGTAGAGGGACGAAAAGTCGTGTCAAGAGGTCACAAGTTTACACTTTATAATATTCTTCTTCTTCTTCATCATCATCATCATCATCTTCTTTTCCTACTTCGATGAATATTCTTCTTATCGTCATATTTTCCCGTACACAAATTGATTTACGAGTCAAACTTTTCTTTTAATCAAATTTATCCAAGACGGTTTCACCAAAAGTTGGTTAATAATTTCACAAAACAATTATTTTTTTTTTCTTATCCCATCCCCTAACCTTTTTCTCCAACTATTCCGAAATGTTGAAATTAAAAGCACAGGATTTTTTGTCTTACCATATTGAAATATTTTTTGGACAAAAGATGATATAAAAAATTGGATCAAATTAAATGTTTATCTCAATTATCGAAATATTTATAGGAAAGAAAGTCAAAATATCGTTACTTGCGCTATACTTACAGTTCGTTATTGATGGAAGCTCGATACAATAGTCCTTTATGCGGTTCGCACAATAGAACGGCATTTTGGATAGACGACGGCGGTGTCCTCGAGTAACTTTCAGCGTATCTATAAAAAATCAAAAGGGCAGATTGTCAGGAAATAAAGAAATAGATCAAGCTTTGTGTTAAACCAACATATAGAATATTCGTTTTCTAAATATTTTATATGGTATAACAATATAGGACAATAATAATAATAATAATAATAATAATAATAATAATAATAAGAAGAAGAAGAAGAAGAAGAAGAATAATTAATAATCAATTATTATTAAAATAATATAAAATGAATTATTCCCTTAAACATTTACCAATAATTAAAATAATTATTTTCATAGCCAAAGATGTCAATTCCTTTATGTTATGTAATAATATAATAATATAATAATATAATAATATAATAATATTAATATTATATTATATAATAATATTAAATATTCCATAATATTATAGAATAATATAAGGGAATAAAAAATAAAATAAATATATATAATTTAATAATAATAATAATAATAATAATAATATATAATTATTAATTTATTTATATTTATTTTATATTATAATTATTGATATATATAAATATTATATATAATTATATATAATATTTGTTATTATTATATATAGATATATTATTCCCTTAGACATTTACTGATGATTAAAATAATTATTTGCATACAAAACCACGTAAATTCGAGTAAAGAAAAATCATTGACCAGGATAAATATCAAAATGTATTTTCTCGAAAGAAAAGAGCGAATAAACTTGATAGCTGTGGACGGATCTTCGTGAGTTCTTCTTCTTTGGATGACACGATCTTCTGGTTTGTGAACTAGAAAGAAAACTAAGAAGGAAGAGAGAAGATTCGTAGAACCGTCAGTGTGTAACGGCGACGACGACGAAAACGACGACGAAAACGGCGACGGCGACGTTTCCGTCGGGACTTTCGGGGTAGTTGGGATGCTCGGGGAATGAAGGAGAGGGAGTAAGGTGGTGGAGAGATGTTTGGGGATTGGGGTTGTGCATCATTTTTCACATACCATGAGGGGGCGGACGGTTTTTGCCGATCCCCTAGCAGACGACTATCCGGATAATGCTCTTAAAGACGGATATCTCTGGGCAAACGAGCCAGGTATGACCTGCCGATCAAAAAAAAGAAACAGGAAGAGAAAGAGAGAGAGGACTATCTTTCCAATTAAAAAGAAAAAACAAAAACAGAAGAAAAAGTATACTAAACAAACAAACATATTTCCATATAAAAATGAAGAAAATTTGATTTCATTCTTATTATCACTTATATTTTCTATCGTTTTTTCCCGATCTATCGATGGACTATTTCAAAAATTGGTATTATTGAAAACAAAACAAAAGAAAATAATAATAAATTAAAAAGAAAGAAAAAAAAGATAGAACAGCCTTCGAAAAAGAAAGAAAGAAAGAGAGATAGATAGATGGATTGGTATACCCACTGTGATGTACAAACAAGGAGAGAAAGAGAAAGAGAAAGATCGAAAGGAAAAGAGGATGAGGAGGTGCAAATATCCTGAAACGTTTAAAAATGTCCCAACGAACCCTCGAGCGCGTTTTCGAGAAGCGAATATGCGTATTAATTATGAGCCTTGTTCAAACAGGCGAAAACGCAGAGAGAAAGAGAGAGAGAAAGAGGAAGGAGAGTACGGTAAAAGGGTAGTTACCCTTATTACGATCCGACTCGGGACAAGCTCTCTCTGTCGGTGCTTCTCTCTTTCCACAAATATTCTCCTCTAACCTTCTCTCTTTCTCTCTCTCACATACTATACTCAGCCGGACAAAACCGGACTCTTTCTTTTTTTTTTCCATCTCCCAACTCTCGTTCGAGGCTTTGTTTAACTTCTGTCGCGGAATTTTTACGCGCCGCAACGATTATTGCTCCCTGGAGATCGCGAAAATGGACGAGAAAGAGAGAGAAGTTCGTTTTCCGTCTAGCGTGCAGTATAATAATTTCGGTGACAAACCACCCCACCCCATCCATCCCTGTAAAAGTTCGCCGATCGTACGTATAATGAAGCTTCTTCGATCAAACACAGAAGTCAACAAACCCCTCCCCATACCACACACCCCCTGGCTATCTACTTCGTCTCAATTGAACACGCTGCACTTAGAAAGCATATATTATTTAAAAAAAGAAAAAAAAACTAAACAAGAAAGAATGAAAAAAACCAAATGGAACACTTGGAATCACGTTGCAATCATTTCCGGTTGGTTGGTAACGTTTTGTTGGATAAGGAAAATGCAAATCCTTCTCTCTACTATGAAACCGCAATAATATCGTTACTTGATTCTTGTAAAATATAAGTAGATTATTTCGAAACGAAACAGACCTTGATATCAAAGAACTATGAAAAATATCGAACTGAACGTTGTGGTTTACATTTTTATCGATCATCTATCGAGAACGATATTCTATTCCATGAACGAACACGAATGGAATGGCAAGAATCCCCCTAACCCCCACTTCATTCCACCCTCACCATTACGGATGAAACGTGTTCAACACGCGCATACATTAATACTTTGCATAACGGTACACATAGGACATTGTTTTTGATAATTGTGCCAGTAATTATGACAGTGGAGTGTGTCATTATATTATAAGAATTTATTTGATGATTTATTTTACGATACTGGTAAAATTTTATTATAGAATTAATTTGAAACATTTCTTAACTCATCGTTCATCTACTGTCAATAATTAATTATCAGCACAATTGTATATAACAATTAAACTTTGTGTTTGGATTGATTTCAAAAATAATGATAAATATTAACGAATTCAACTAATATTTGTTAATAGATAAACAATATCAATGTAATTATCCAATAAAAGAAAATGTTGTCAAAAAAAAATGAACTACAAGTGAACTTACACAACAATTTTAACAAAAAAATAATTCAATTATGATTTATTTAATACTTTAAACATTCATAAATAATCTATCAAATCGAAAGAGAATTAAGTAAAATTTGAAGTATTAAATCATTAATAATACTTAATTATGAATCTATGATATTGCTGCATCTTAATATGATAATAATTTAGTACTCATTGAAAAAAAAGGAAAAAAAGGAGGGCTCATAAAACCTTGTAAAGTTGGAATAAGAGATTTGAGGACGTTTAGTCAAATACCGATGGGAAGGAGCGTTAAATCAGGGAAAACGTAGGGACACTTCGCCTTTCCTTCCTCTCCCCCCCCCCACCTTGTTCCTCTCCCTGTCGGAAGACAAATGTCATTGGGAGAGGATCGTGCGTTGGAGAAGGAGGTCCTTTTCGGGAGGCTTTCGCCATAGATGCATGTTCTCTCTTACGGCGGTAAATCAAGCCCGGTGATATTAAAAGGCCGCTTATACGCGAAAACATAAGATTTATTTCTAGGAGAAAGGAAAGGGTAGGAGAAGGATAGAAAACTATATCTCCGAGCTTCTGGCACGTGGATGCTTTCGAATTAGACAGAAAAAAAAAGAGAAAAAGAAAGAGAGAGAGAAAGATAGAAGTATATTCGTTCGGGGGGTTGTTGGTGAACGGGAAAGAGAAGGGTGATACGTACAACTCACCCCTAAACGTTGTTCGAATAATCGTGCAACTCTCCTAAAGAGAGAGAGAGAGAGAGAAAGAGAGACAACGGTTTGTACGAGCTAATAATATCGGAACACCGCAGCGTCACATATGCGTCAGGGAAAAGAATTCGTATCTCGGTTCAAATTTTATTCGATCCTTCTTTTTTTCTTACTCTTTTATTATACATTTTGGGAATATTTGTCTGATCGGTATAACACGCGTTAATAAGTTTATATATACTTACGTATAAAACATATAAAATAATATATTCTTTTGCGTGCCGTCATTAAATTTGTATTTTACGAATGTTTGTAATATGAAAACACACAATTTGAAAATATAATATTTAATTAATAATTAATTAACAAGTTATTTGTCACGTTTTGTTTTTTTCAACAAGATCACGAGGATCATCTGTGATATGCATTAGTACATTGTCGAAGTTTGTTATACGTCGAAACATGTTAATAATTTCATATATAATAAATACTTGCTTTTTATAAATAAAATAAATTTAAAAAACAAATTATAATAAACTACGTTTGTATACGTGTTTAAAATACGAATCGCACGATTGAAATTATAAAATGTTTCTCATTTATTCGAAAAGTAAATCTAAAATTCACCATAGAATGTTATCGACAATAAGTGAGTGTAAAGTTCACGGCTACTTAGAAGGAAACAACGATCCCGGTGAATCTTCCTCGTGAACGAGCCGAGCCGAGCCGTTACGAGGAAACCTCGCTCGTAACCCGTAACGAGAGCTTCTTTAAGCTCGCTACGGTTTACAGGAAAGCAATAATCGTTGGAGTTGTTGTCCGGGGTCAACCTACATTCCTCGAGTTAACGGTGAGAAGAGAACCAACAACGATGACCACCTTCTCCTTATCCTCATCCCCAATCCCCATTCCAATTCCCATCCCCATCCCCATCCCCATCCCCAACCTCCTCATCCTCCTCCACCGTCTTCTTCTTCTTCTTCTTCTTCTTCTTCTTCTTCTTCTTCTTCTTCTTCTTCTTCTTCTTCTTCTTCTTCTTCTTCTTTTTCGTCTTTTTATTTCTCGTAGAACCAAGAGAAAAAGAAGAAAATAAAAGAAAAAGATAAAAAAGAAAAAGAAAGAAGTAGGCACGTCGTTATTTCCTATCTTTCTAATTTTTCTCCAAAGGGACACGGAATGTGGATCATCATTATTATTATCATTATTATCATCATCGTCGTCGTCGTCGTCGTCGTCATCGTCTTGCGACATCTCCACAAACTTAACTGTCTCCTAGATAGGTTAGTTTCTATTAGTATTGATTTATTTCATTTCTTTTTTTAATTTTTTTTTTATTTTCAGTTTTGATTTCTAAGTAACTCAGCAAGGTAAGACTTTGAATCGAATGTAATCACGCGTAAGCATATAATTTGTTTCTTTTTTCTATTATTATATTTTTGAAGTGAAACTTCTAAGACGATGGTTAAACAAAATTTT